GCAGGAGACTCGCTTGAGCCCAGGAGTTGGAGGTTGCTGTGAGCTGTGATACCACGGCAGTCTACCCAGGGGGACAGCTTGAGGCTCTGTCTCAATAAAATAAAATAAAATAAAGTTCAAGATATTGAGTTGGGGGGGGGTGGAAGCCACTTGTGAAGGGCCTTCAAGCCAAGTATCCATACTAGCCATCTGGGTGTGATGAATGACCCAGAGCTAAGGTCCAGAAAAAAGGAGAGGTCAGGTCCCAAGTGCAAGTCCTAGAAGAATGGAGTTTGAAAGTCTAGTTTGGGTTCTCCAGGTCCTTCCCTAGCAGGACCCCTCCAACAGCTCAGTTTTGATGAAAACGAGAAGAGGGAGCTCTAAGTGGGAGACAGGGTAGAGGGGTGGGGAGAAGTACTTTCTTGTAGTTGGGGGGGGGGGGATCCAATCCAGGATAACTCGCCAGTTCATGCAGGTGAACAGACTATCCTGGTCTCCTAAACACTGCCTTAGAAAGAAGGCAGGGGATTCCTGAGTCCTAGTGAGGAAAGAGCGGGTCCTAGGACGGGGGAAAAAGGGAACCTGGGACCAAAGAGTTCCGTGACAGAAACAAAAGATACCAGGATAGGGGGGAGAGGAGTCCGGGATCGGGGGAAGGAGTCCCGGGATCTAGGAGCTCGCTCGCCCGCCCGCCCGCCCTGGTCCCGCGCTCACTGTCCATGCCGGGGAAGGGCAGCGGCTGCGCCCCGAGCTGCTGCTCCACCGCGATCTCCAAATCGAACTTAATGTGATCCACGCTTGCGATGATTTCCTGCATGGCGGCGGCGGCGGCCTTACCGGCCCGGCTCCCCCTCAGTCTGTCGCCTCCCTCACACCTCTACCGGCCGCCGGCCCTACCACTCTCTGACCACCTCGTCTCGCCTCGCTTCGCCGCCGCCGCCGCCCGAGGGATGCCGGGAGCTCCGGAGTCCGCGCCAGCCCTTTCGCCTGCCAAGACCCGGCCAATTGAGCCCGGAGTACTGCAGGCACGCCAGGCCCGGTTAGCCGCCAGCCGAACTCCCGCCTGGCCTAGCGGGTAATCCGAACCCAGGCCTGTGAGTTCGCCGGAGAGACTGCGCCTTCCTGAGGTCGGGCTGAGACGCTTGTCTGGGGTAAAGCTTGTTGCACAGCTGGGACCGGACTTGGGGGCGACGCTGGGCCAGGCAGGGGGCTAGCGGCGAGGGGCGGCGCGAAAGACTGGGCGGAGTTCACTTCGCTGGACGTTTCTAGTATGTTGTGCTTGATCCTCCAAGGAGCCCCGGGACCCGAGCAGAAGGCTAGTGTGGGGAGAGGTCGGGGTTGGCCTGAGGGTCCTGGTGAGCGTCAGAGGACAGGCGTGTCCCTCCAGGGGAGGACAGCATGCCTCTAATTCAGGCGTTTTAACCCCGGGTGGGTTAATGAACTTGGGCAGGAAGAGGATAACACCTTTATTTTCTCAGTGTGAAATTTTAGCATTTCCTGTCCTCATTGACCTAGCACTGCCTAAAACTATGTCGTAATTTCAAGTGAGGATGTAGTTCGTGGTAGAGTTATGCAGCAGCTACGAGTTGGTATTTCGGCTCACTCCTGCTTTTAACTTGATAGGATCTTGTTAATTAAATGCATTGAAAAAGAAGCATATGGCTCGGTGCCTGTGGCTCAAGAGGCTAAGGCGCCAGCCACATACATCTAAGGTGGCAGGTTCGAATCCAGCCCGGACCCGCCAAACAACAATAATGGCTGCAACCAAAAAATAGCCGGGCGTTGTGGCGGGCGCCTGTGGTCCCAGCTACTTGGGAGGCGGAGGCAGGAGACTCGCTTGAGCCCAGGACTTGGAGGTTGCTGTGAGCAGTGAAGCTATAGCACTCTACCCAGGGGGATAGCTTGAGGCTCTGTCTCAAAAAAAAAAAGAAAAGAAAAGAAAAAGAAGCATACATACTAATATAGTAAGAAATTGTTTTTAAAGCATTTTCAGGTCGGGCGCTGTGGCTCAAGCCTGTAATCCTAGCACTCTGGGAGGCCGAAACCGGTGGATTGCCTGAGTTCAGAGGTTTCTAGACCAGCCTGAGCCAGAGCGAGACCTCGTCTCTATAAGTAGCCGGGCGCCTGTGGTCCCAGCTACTCCGGAGGCTGAGGCAAAAGAATGACTTGCGCCCAGGAGTTTGAGGAGCTGTGATGCCATGGCAGTCTATTGGGAGCTACGAAGTGGGATTCTGTCTCCAAAAAACCCCAACAAAACAAAAAAAATTTTTCAAATCTATTTTAATGTCTTTTTTGGGGGGGGGGTAATTCTTTGTATTTAATTAGAGTAATGCAGAATGGTAAAGGCCCTCTGAGTAGTGTCGCCGAGGTGCTTGTCCTGGAGAAGATGTTTAATACACCTGTTATAGCCACCAGGAATCAAAGCCAGGCCAGGCCAGCCCCAGCTGGCCAGGCTCACCACTGCATGCTGCAGGACCCAAACAAATCTCTTCCCTGCAGGGCCCCAGTTATTAATCAGTTCAATCTGCTATCTGATTGAGATCTGAGGTCTTTCCAGTCACAACTTTCTTTCTTTCTTTTTTTTTTTTAGAGACTGAGTCTCACTTTATTGCCTTCTGTAGAGTGCAATGGCATCACAGCTTACAGCAACCTCCAACTCCTGGGTTTAGGTGATTCTCTTGCCTCAGCCTCCCAAGTAGCTGGGACTACAGGCTCCTGCCACAACACCTGGCTGTTTTTTTATTGCAGTTTGGCCAGGGTCGGGTTTCAGCTCGCCAACCTCAGTATATGGGGCCTGTGCCCTACCCAATGAACCACAGGCACTGCCCCAATCACAACTTTCTAATATAACCAGACTTGAAAATATTTTATGCTATAAACTGGTCATTCTGATATTTTTATTAAAGGGTTTTAAGTGTGCAGGCCAGAGAATCTCAAGCCCACCTTTGTCTTACGGAAATAAAACACAAAAACACATGTCATTTTAAATGTTCTAGTAGCCACATTAAATTAAAAAGAAATTGTGAAATTCATGTCAGTAATGTTTTATTTACCTCAACATATCTGAAATATTTTAACATGTAAATAAGTTATTAATGTGTGTACATTATTTTTTTTTTGTGATTTTGAAATCTAGTCTGTATTGTACACTTAGCACATGTCTATTCAAACTGGCCACATTTCAAGTCCTCAGTACCCATGGGTGGCCAATGGCTACTATGTTGGTCAGCACAGCTCTTGTTCATTTGTCTGCAAACTTTGCAGGAAATAAATGCTTGAGTTACCTTTCCTTTGCAGAGGCCTAGAATGTCAACAATTTTTTCATGATATTAAATAATCGTAAACACAGTTTTTGAACCTGTTAAACAGCAGACATTGTGCTAAAAATATCTCATCTAAGAGTTGATGAAATCAAGACATAAAGGTCAAATACTGGGCCCTGTCACACAACTGTGGCCAGGACTTAGCTCTGCCTTGACCACTGGTGCTCGTAGATGATAATTTGATAATATCTAGCACCTATGTCTGAGTGTGTACTGGGCCAGCACTGTGTCACGTGCTATACATAGGGGACATCATCTCTTACGAAAATTACCGTGTGGTGACATTATTGTTAACCCCAGTGTAGATGTGAGACCTAGGCCAGAGTGATGAGTGCTCAGGGATGCTTATATGGTTGTTATAGAGCTGAAATATGAACCTAGATTTTCTAACCTCAGGGCCTACATTTATAACCATTTCTGTCTTTTTGCCGTTTGTGACTAGTGGATTTTCTTTTCTTTCCTGGACATATTACAGGCCCTGGAGGGACAGGAAAGCTAGAAATGGACCTTGTAAGATTCGCCCTGTTCTTCTCTGGGCGCCGCCGCATGGGACAGTCTATCTTGCCATATCTGGACCCTCTCAGAGCCAGGTGGGCGGAAGGCAGGGAGGGGGCTGCATGGCTAAATCAGCTGGTGCCAGTGGCCTTCAACAGCTCCCTCTGCCGATGGCCCCTCCACCAGAGGAGCCAGAACATGAGGAACCTCAGCTCTGACCCAAGCCATCCTAGCCCCATAGCCACACAGGAGGAAGAGGAGGAAGAGGAGAGCTTTGGGACACTTTCGGACAAATACTCCTCCCGGAGACACTTCCGCAAATCAACAGCCCAGCTCTATAACCTGCGGCTCAAGGAACAAAATGTTGAGGAAGATGAGGAAAGGGAACTGGAGCCAAGACCATGGAAGGGCCCAAAAAACACTCCATACTGGTACTTCCTTCAGTGCAAACACCTGATCAGGGAAGGAAAGGTGAGGAAGCCTCTGGATCCCACTGTGCCTGGCTGCTGCTCCCCTTGCAGCTCAGTATTTTATGAGGGGCCATCCAAGCTTTTTAGTCTCCAGATGCTCAGGGCCTGGTCTGCAGGCTTCTCCCCATGTCTGCTTATAAACCTCCCCGCAGTTCCTACCCCCCTGGTGGCCTGTCAGCTTCATGGTCTTGTGTGTCCTTTGCCACCCTCCACTGTAGTTTCTTATTCCAGTTTCCTGCCCTGCCCTTCCCCTGGATTCTTGATCTGTGTGTCCAGCTTTCTCCTTACCATCTCCCATCTGCTTATCCACACAGGCAGCTATACAGATCTAAGCCTGGAATTTTGTTCCCAACTTTGCTTCCCCCACATTTTCTTCATCTCACTAAATGACAACCCCATTCCATTCACCCAGGTCAAGTGACCCTTAGTGGTCATTGACCTCATCACCTTTGATCCGTGGTCCCTGTAACAGGTGTATTAAACGTATTCTTCATTACTTTCATTCACTTATCAGCTCTACTTCGAAAATGTCATCACCCCTACTTCTCACAACCTATCTCTGAATGCCCAGGCATAGTTTTTTCTTCTACTCCATCAGCTATCATGACCCTTGTCACCTTCTGTCCCACCATCAGCTCATAGCACAGAAGTGTCCTTTTATTTATTTATTTTTGTTATTTTTTTTTTTAGGGACAGGGTTTCCTTCTGTCACCTAGGCTTAGTGTAGTGACCTGATCATAGCTTACTGCATCCCCAAACTCCTGGAGAGGAGAGCTATCCTTTTAAACAGAGAATGGTTGATGGCAGGGCGCGGTAACTCAGGCCTGTAATCGTAGCACTCTCCGAAGCCTAGGTGTCAGGATCGCTGGAGTTTGAGACTAGCCCGAGCAAGAGCAAACGAGAGACCTCTGTTTCTATTAAAAATAGAAAAATTAGTCAGGCGCAGTGCCAAGTGCTTGTAGTCCAAGGCTGAGGCAGGAGGAGAGGATGACTTGAGCCAAGGAGTTTGAGGTTGCCATGAGCTAGGTGGCACTCTAGCCTGGGCAACAAAGTGAGACTCTGTGTCTAGGAAAAAAAAGTGGCTCATGTTAATCCTTTCTCCAAAGCTCCGAATGTATTTATAGCATTAATGTTTATTTTCTTAGGTATTGATATGGGCATTGTCAAATCTCTTAGAGGTATATGTTAAAATCTCTGATGGGGGCTCGGTGCTTGTAGTGCAGGGGTTATGGCGCCAGCCACATGCACCGAGGCTGGTGGGTTTGAACCCGGCCTGGGCCAGCTAAACAACAATGACAACTGCAACAAAAACAATAGCTGGGTGTTGTGGCAGGTGCCAGTAGTCTCAGCTGCTTGGGAGACTGAGGCAAGAGAATCTGTTAAGCCCAAGAGTTTGAGGTTGTTGTGAGCAGTGATGCCATGGAACTCTACCAAGGGCG